AAATAGCCTAAAACCATCTTTATTTAAACGCGGTGAGCAACCCAAATACAACGAATTCTTGACTTCCGACTTTTGTTGGGCTGCCACCTGGTGGCCGTGGCAACGGATCCACGGCATTCAGTTTCTGTTCGTCAAAATCTGATCCGTTGACACAGCCGTCACTGGCACCGTTCAAGTTCGCTGAATCTCATCGCGTGAAGTCCCCCAGGCCGCGAGGAGCGACCGAAGGTCACCGACAAGCGGCCCACTCATTTATTTCAAACTTCACTTTCACCAACGTCTCGGCTGCCACGAGGAGCGAGGTCGGCGACAAGCGGCGCATCGCTTCAACAGAACAGTGGTAATTCAAAACCAAAGAAACGAGGGCTGCCTGGAGGGCCAGCCAGTACTATACTTAAGGTGGAGAGCGTGGGAAGCCCGCACCTTTACATAAGCCATTTTGTGACACCCTTATAACTATACAACCGAGGTTCAAAAAAATATTATAGATCCTAGGAAATGTGCCTATTAACAATGTTAACACTTCCTAGGAAGCAGAATCTTCAAAAAGGATACCAGTCCAAAGTTATAAGCACTTCTTTCCTTTTTTGGGCAATATATTTCTACAACACTTTCCATTCATTTGGCGCGATTTGCGTCAACCGGAATGGAAGATTTGGACCGATTATATAATCAATCACATGACCGGTCCGGCCGGTCCGGCACCTCATGGAGGCCTCATTGTTGTGCACAGGCTGTGGCTGAAAAAGATGGTCACTTTCGAGCGAACACAATCATTGATTATGTTGGTTCTCCAGAAATGCAAGCAACATTGGAAGAGAAAGGTGTTCCTCTCCAAGAGCGCATAATTTCTGTCTGGACTGCACGTCGCTGGTTGAAAACTCTTGACTACAGATTTGGCAGAAGGAAAAATGGAATGTATGTGGATGGTCATGAGCGTGATGATGTTGTTAAATATCGCATGGCATTTGTGAAACGATGGATTGAAGAATATGAACCAAGAATTGCAAAGTTCAACAATGATGGTGTTTGTACTGGTCTGCCCGGTGGTATTGGTCCAGATGGGAAACCATATCATCTGATTGTGGCCACTCACGATGAATCTACATTCTTTGGAAATGATCGAAATAAGATCGGATGGATTCATGCTTCATTCAAAGCAAAGCCAGAAGCCAAAGGCCAAGGCCAATCCATCATGGTCTCTGATTTTCTGACACCTGAATGGGGACGACTTGTTCATGGCGAAGAAGAGGCTCAGCTTCTTTTCCATGCTGGAAAAAATCGAGATGGATATTTTACCAACAAGGAACTGTTGCCACATGTTTCACATGCAATTGACATTTTTGAAGCCAGAGTGGCAAACGAAATACCAGGAGGAGCAGTCGGTCTATTTCCCTTCGATAATGCTCCTAGTCATCAGAAGCGTGCAGCAGATGCTCTCTCAGCCAGAAAGATGCCCAAGGGACCAAGCAAAACATGGGGCCAATCACCCAGAATGCAACCAGGAACATTACCTGGAGGAGCTTGTCAGGAATTCTATTATCCTGACAATCATCCAGATATGCCTGGATGGTTCAAGGGCATGCAGCAAATTTTGGAAGAGCGGGGGCTGTTTCATACCGGCTTGTTAGCTCAGTGTCCAGGTTTCAAATGTGAAGCAGAAGCAACCAGCTGTTGCTGCCGTAGAATGCTCTTCAATGAGCCAGACTTTATCAATCAGAAATCTGCACTTCAGGAACTTGTTGAAAGCCGTGGTCATATTTGTGACTTCTATCCTAAATACCACTGCGAACTCAATTTTATTGAAATGTACTGGGGTGCAGCAAAATTCAAGTATCGAAAGTCCCCCAGCACCAAGAATATTGAGGAGATGGAAGCAAATGTCAAAAGATGTCTGGATGAAGTCTCTCAATTGTTTATTCTTCGGTTTTCCAATAGAGCTGCCCGATTTGTATCAGCTTATTATCTTGGCTGTACTGGGAAGGATTTAGGTTATCTACAGAAGACATACAAGAGCCATAGGATGCTGCCTTATAATGCAGTAACATTGATGAAACAGTCTGTACATATGTAGTTTTTTTTTCCTCTATGAAATACATTTTTTGGCACAGATTTATTGAATTTTTGTTCTCAACTCGAGATTTGGACAGTCACGTCACGCTTTGTCACGGCTTACATAAAGGTGCGGGCTTCCCACGCTCTCCACCTTAACACCAACTAAAACCCAACCATAGCTGCAATAGTCTCCCGTAGTCAGATACACCTGCAATAAAACCTCTTGAACACTGGATTCCATCCAGGATTGGATAATCCCTCATTGTAGCTTTTCAAAAACAACTACATTATTACCTTTCATTGTTAGGCTTCCTGCCGGGGGAAGGAAAATGCAGTCCCCCCTTCTCATTCACTTCCAATATTCTGTTTGTGACCCGCCGCTTGCCGGCCATCCACTATCATGGAAGACAAAAGCGAGGTGTCACGGCCACGTGACTTGGACGCGTCAGTGTGTGCTGACAAATCAGAGCCATTCAGCTTCTTCCAATTTTTTGTCCTCGCGTGTTGCATTCCAATACAATATTCCTGGGGTCATTGAGTTAGTAATGAGGAGAGGAAGGCCCGGTAACTGATGGTGCGCACCCGCGCCAGATTGTTGATTGTTGTGGGTGTGCATATGCATGCAGGGGATGTTCGTTCGCTCGAGCCTGGCAAATCGGACTGAATATTAATGTTCTTGCTCTCATTTAGTTGCGAAGTACGAGGGGAAGGCCCAGTGGTAGGAGGTCCGCACCTGCCAGCAATAAACAGAGTTTATACCGCTACTTACACGCAGGACTCGGAGATGCCCTAGGCCATCAGTCGGTCAGAAACACGACAAATAGACTATTCGCAGGGCAAATGTTCACCAAGCGAGGTATGAGCTTCGTGTTGAATACGAGAGACTAGGGGTAATGATCCTGCTCTCATAAAGTTCACATGTATGAACGGGAGGCCCGGTAGCGGGAGGTCCGCACCTCCCATTTGCGATGTTGCAGTAACGGTATAAGCAGGAGATGCTAGCTGGCACCCACCATTCGAAAACGCAATGGACATCCAATAGATTCTGATTCGTGATACGTACTGCAATAGGGAAGAATCACATCGTTATAATTATATGCAGCAGTTCGATCCGAGCCTGGGCCATGGTGATGCTCGTCGCAACGTTTTTCTTGTTCCTCGCATGTTGGACTCGAATATTCCTGGTATCACTGAATTACGAAAGAGGAGAGGAAAGCCTAGTGGCGGGAGGTCCGCGCCTATACCAATTGCTGCCATTGTGCTGATTATGCATGCAGGCGACGCTCGTTCGACTCGAGCCCGGGCCATTCAGTTCTTTCATCCAAATTTTTTATTCCCCTCATATGTTGGACCCGAACACAATATTCCTGGCGTCATTCTTTGCCGAAGCAGGAGGGGAAGGCCCAGCGGCGGGAGGGCCGCACCTGCATCAACGCTCGACTCGAGCCTGGGCCATGTAGGTAAACCCACGCAATAGTTTCTTTATCCTCGGCAAATCGGCTTTTAATGTTGCTGCTCTCATGAATAAAGTTCGCAGGTCTGAATGGGTACACAGGGATGAAAGGAACGCCCGGTGGCGGGAGGTCCGCACCTGCAACCAATCGACAAGATATGTGTCGTCTTTCCGACTATAAGCAGAGGTTACTCGTCCGATTCGAGCCCGGGCCATGGGAGTTGTCTTGAATGATTTTTTGAGGGGTAGGTTTTCTTTTCCCGCCGTTCGACTTTTCGAGTGATGTACAAAATCGCTGAGCTGCGCGGATACAATTACATCACATTACAAGTAAAACGTACATAGGCTCGGGTATTGCGAGCCCTCCACTTGAACCTGAATTGGATACCTCACAAGCGTGGAGGGACGGACTGGGCAATTTCGTTCAAGAACCCCACCAGCTTTTCTGCAGTTCAAAATCAGCCACCATTAACACCCATGGCGGGCAAGCTACTCGCCTTCGGCTCATCGTCAAAGCTGAACCTCACGCTCCCATACGCCGACGACTCGACACGCAGTTCGTCGCCCGCCCAGGCCTCCGCGTCCGTATATGCGGAGAAGTCGCCGATGAAGCAGCGGCGTGTATTGTCCGCCTCGCTGAGCGGCGTAATCTCCGCGGCGAGAGGCGCGGAGAGGCGCACGGTGGGGCTGCGCGTGCGGAGCGTGACGGGCCCGCGGAAGGAGCGCGGGAGGTGCACCGCCATGTGCCCGTGCGCGGATTGCACGCGCACGCGGAGGGGCGGGCGCGCGAAGTCTGCCGCGTGCTAGGCAATCAACCCAAGTTCAACCAACTGTACGAGCGAGATAGATAAAAGACCGGAACGCACCAGCCGTGCCGCGATCGTGCCGTTCCCCGACTCTATCAGCACCTCCACAGGCTTGCAGCCCGCCTCCCCGACGACGGATAGGTCGACGTCGATCGGCCCAGCGGTGGTACGCAGCACCGCGTTGCGCCTCTCCTCGTCCGGGGCGAGCGGCGGCAGCAATGCCTGCGAGATGACGATCCGCGGGTCGATCACGTAGCTGCCCTTGAGCGGGCTGTTCCCGCGGTCGAGTAGCAGGAGGTTTGTCGGTCGCGTGCCCGGCCCTGCCTCACCTGCGGTAGGGACACCGGCGTCGGGGTAGGGCGGGGGCGAGTCGGCGTCGTCCGGAGGCGATACAGAGGCGGTCGCTTTGGGGAAGAGGTCGAGGTCTGGGGTCAACTCCAGAATCGGTGCATTTCGCCAAGCCTTTTATGTGGCGAGTGCGCAGCGCATCAGCGCAGCTACCGCACCCGAGAATTCTCGGCAATCACGGCACAGCACATGCCGCTGATCCCCACCCCAGACTTCGTTTCCTGGTTGCGCCCAGACCGCCCAATTGCACGAAGGTCCGATGCTCTTGCGGGACGGCGGAACTCGGTTGGATACAGCGCGAAAATCGTCGGGAGAAAAATTCATCCACTGCCGCGAAGTGGCCCGGGCTCGAATCGAACGAGCGTATCCTCCTATAAATACGTGGCCAACACTTGTCGATTGCATGAAGGTGCGGACCATCCGCCACCGGGCCTTCCTCTGACCTAAGAGCTGGATCAGGACGCAAGAGGCGTGCGATCTCCTTATCGCGGATATCTTCCCACGGGGTACCTACCCCCCAAATAAGGCAGGTCTGAGTCAGCGGCGTCGAGTCGGCCATCAATTGGCCAAGCACTTGCAACCAACCACCACCTACAGGCGCGTCAAGCGCGTCTGGCTTTCATCCACTTCAGCGCACTCAAGATGGCTAATAACTCTGTGCATATTGTAAATGCCCCGCTGTCAAATAATGTAAATTTATCTTGGAAAACCGCGCCGACATCTGGGCAAAACACGTCGACATCTTGGCAAACCACGTCCACATCCACATCCAATCTCTTCCATCCACTTGCCTTGACATCGAGAATCAGCCTCCCCCTTCCGAGGTAGGAAATGTCATATTGATCTGATCATGGCCGAGGCTTGTGCCGCTGTCCATCAGTGGCGCTCACGTGGACAGATCAAATTCCGCGATCCAGAGATCGCTTAGGTTCGGAGCAAGCCTGTCTCCGCACCGGCAAGCCAGTGAATCTCGGAGAGAGGCTTGTTACAAACTGCCAAAAAAGGACCATGTGTTCAAGAGACATTTTCTCAGCCATTTCAACTCGGATTGCCATGGTTTCTGCTGATAAATTGTTCATTAGATACCCCTCCACATAGCTAGGTGCTAAGAGGGAGCAAATATTATCTTGTTCTTGTAGTACACTTGATCTTTAACTCCGAAGTTGCATTTGGGATTCAAGCCAAACAAGGAATATCATTTGACCATTCCATGGATTTTATGGGCTCAATGAGTTCCTTAGACGATTTACAGCAGGTCTTCCAGCAAAATGTATGCCGAGAACGGTCTTGTTCGTGCAGGAAACAGAATTTCGGTCTTTGGTGAGGTGTGACACAAAGTGTGACATGTGTGACTGAATCCTTTTCAGTGGCCAACCTCGCTGCATGGAGAGCAATGAAGTCCACGAGGGACATGAAATGGTAATCATAAGAGTTTTTAAAGGTGTATTTGCCCTTGAAAGACGTTCGAAGATGAAGAAAACCTCAAATGTAATTTCGGATCTGGATGACTAATCACATCAAAACAGCCCGTTTCACTTGTTTTCGAGCCACGGGCTTCACCACATCGCTTACAAGCATGAAAAAAGTGGTTTCAGGATCTTGAATACAGCCATAATGAAATGGCATACTCAGATTTTCAATTTGGACAATGAGTATGACTTGGAAGAGGAACATTTCATTCAACTGATCTATGAAGAAGTGCAGGTTGTGGCCGACCTTATAGGACATAAGGGTATCCTACGAGAAATCCGAAGAGACCAAAACACTTTCGCACTTCCAATGTACAAATGATCAACTTAGATCTAAGGGTTCCATGCTATATTAGAGACGGTAGAGCGTGCAGAACACATTGCCCTTTTTTTACATCTTGGCACAAGCCCCTTCTCAGAATGCGCTGCGAAGCACGTGCATGTCATGTGAGAAGGCGGCTTGTTCCGAACCTAGAGATCGCTCGCCTCTTGTAAGGACGCTTGAATTTGTGAGGAAATAAATGATCGGCGGGAAGTCCTGAATATGTGCGCGAAGACTCGAATTATCGGATGCGGGTGCGGACTGACAGCTACTGGGCATCCATGTCGCCAACAGCTCAAAACTTGTTGAAGCCTCAAAGTCAAAGTCGACCGTGCCAGAAATAAAAATTGTGCACATCCTTTCCCCTAAAGCCCGGGCTCGAATCGAACGAGCTCCCCTGCTCAAGATCGATTTACGCTCTACTTATTTATCGCAGGTGTGGACCTCCCGCCACCGGGCCTTCCCCTCCTACCTTGGCGCTTAAAGTAATTAGATGACCTCGTAGTTTTGGATCGAAGACGACAGGGATACACCCTACGCGACATCTGGGTTCCAATCGAACCAGACATTCCTGGGTCCAGGCGAAACGATAATTGCATGCAGGTGCGTAGCCCTCCCACCACTCAGATTTTCTCTAAGAAACGAATTATGCACCTATTGCTTCCTTCGTCCTGCATCATGTGCTGCCGCAAATGCAGAGATTTCTGTTTCCAGCGGAGGCCTTGACGAGCCTCCCAACTCGAGAACTCAGTCAAGAGAAGCGCAAGCAAGGTAATTGAATTGTGGGGCCAACTTGTTAATACATGGGAGAACAAGAAAAGAGCCGTCAAACCCTCGTTTCAGCGGTAACATTCTCGCTCATCCAAAACTGACATCACTGTATTTCCGCCTCCGTGAGAGTTTCCATGGTTGAATTCGTCGCGGTATTTCCGCCGCGGTTAAACATCAAGCGGCGGCGAGAGCCATCCGGAGCGGCGAAGGACTCCCAGACAGGGGATATGATCTCCTTATCGGTGGAAGGGTTCCCAGTCGCGGCGAACGACGTCCAATACGCTATCGCCTCCTTTGATAGGACAGCTTCACTCTGAGGTTCAAAATGTAAATCACGTAGAGGATATTCAAATTGGCCTGACCGTGTTGAATGGCGTGAATGTATTTCCCGCGTTTCCGAACGTGCTGAAGGCGGGCTGAGTAGGAAAGGAACACAGTAAATCGTGCCTCTTACTTTGTGCCTAGTTCAAAATCAGTTAAAGTCGCCACTGGCATGTATGCAATTGAAGGATATCACCATCAAATAGATAGTACAGATCCGACGTATGGGCGGCTCCGAGGAACGGAGTTTGATTGTAAATGACGGTGTCCGGTGCATTCCAGCTTTAAATCGAGTCAATAGACAGGTTGGCAGCGAATGTATAGAGGAGAGGCGCACCTGAATGAAAAGACGTTCTTCACGCCGTTCGAACTTAATTTCTCGGCGAGGAACCAATCCCTGGGGCAAGTGTGAGGAGTGAGGTGCGATAGATATAGTGGCTACATACATGCAGGTGAAAACGATGTCGCCGGCCATCGTCGAAGCGCGGTCCCACTGAGTCGCGAACGGACTCCCGGGAGTGCCCGGCGCTGGGTAAATTGCCAGAGCTCGGTCGATGGTGGCATTGGACTGTCAAAGAATCAGCTGTGTTCCTCACTTGAAACACCCTCCATACTCACCACCCCCGACCATCTAGTAAAAACGATTCGGCGAATGTCGTCGTCCGATTGAAAATCATCGGGGGACCCGCCCGCAAAGGTCTTGCCGTCTCCCGTGCAGTGCCCGCCTGTGAATTCTACGGTGCTCATCTTTCCCTGTGCGATCAGTCTCGACGGCAGATCCGGAAGGAAACCGATCGGGCCCTCGATGACGGGCGCGAACGCTCCGCCCGGGATGCGATTGATGGCGCTGACAATTGCGCCTGCAGAAGTGTATTAGTCTTCGAAAGTATGCGGGTTCTTGAAAGTGGGCACCGAGGGAGGCGTTGCGCAGACATGGCATGGCACTACTGCCGGATGCAGGGCAACCGATGAATCCTGCAGCGCTTGCTACGCCGCGTCAATGGACATTAGCTCTGGGAAGGAGTGACTCTCAAGCACTCACTGAAGAACGCCTCGGTCTGTGCTTCAGTGTTGGTCGGACCGAATCCGATTGACTGCGCCGTGGCTCGCTTGAATGGAGCAGGTTTAGAGCCTTCAGAAATTCAACACGGATTTCTTTTTAAAACATAGAAAGGGTACTCTCACCTCCGTATGCTGTGACCTGCATGACGATGCTTGCACCCCCGGCACTCTCACCGTAGATCGTGACGTTGGCGGGGTCGCCTCCGAATGCGGAGATGTGGCGCTGAACCCACTCGAGGCCCGCACGCTGGTCTAGGAGCCCGGTGTTCAGGTCGCCATCAGCCGCTACGACGGGCCCGCCGAGGAAGCCGAGAAGATTCAGGCGATAGGCAATCGAAACACCTACGATCCCACCCGGGTGTTGAGCGACCCAGTCGTACAGCGGGAAACCTTGTGGCGACTAGAGGACTTGTGTTAGGTTTGTACGTGAACTTGGGGGATGCATGCGCACGTTGGCGTCGAAGCCGCCGCCCTAAAAATCGTAGCCAACGCGACAAATAGCACACAGAAAGAAGGGCATACGTGGATATACACCGCAACAGGAAGAGCGGCGCCCGCTGAAGCGTTTGTTGGCTTCCAGACGTTGAGAGTCAGGCAGTCTATGCACCGGGCCCTCGACTCGGGTTTGGAGTTCTCAAAATTCGGCACGCACCTTCGGTTCCAATCCCAACGACGGCCGGCAGTTGGATGCACGGTGGTCCCCAGTCGCGGGCATCGAGCACCTGCGATGTGTTGGTGCTCTCGTTGAGCGCAGCTGGCGCCTTGAATCGCAAGTCACCCAGAGGCGGCTGGGCATAGCGGATATTGCCGTAGAACGTCACGGGCCCGTTCGCAACTCCCGTGGGTGATGTTGTGTTCCCGGCGTACGCCGCATACCCCAAGTCGACGACAGGCCCCAAGTTAGAGGTCAGATTTCTGGCGGTAGCGGCGCAGAGCACAGCTGAAAGAGCCAACGATGCGACGAGCATTTCGAAGGAATGGGGCAGTCAGTGGGTCTGCGATGACGCGGCCGGAATTTATGTGAGCAGAGGCGAAGTTCGTGGATGATCACAAGGTGAGCTAGGTGCGGGCCGAGGCGAGAGTACAGCGGACCGACGAGCATGACTTGGAGCTAATAAAAGACTTGGGCCAAAGAAGGAGAAGAATCTTTCCGGAACTGGAGAGTCAATAGATTGGAAGTGTCGGTAGTTACGGCGGGCCCAGTGTCTCTACCACTGGTAACATGGTTCAACTACAGATTCAGAGACCGCTCAATCCCTCGATTTCTGCGCTGCACCGTGAGAAGCAGAAGAGCACCCGACGACACTACGCACCGTGTGAAGGAGGCACCGATTCTCCTTGTCCATGTATATTGTCCATGTATATGTTGTTGTTGAATTGCCTGCAGTGTGTGGGCGCCACGGCTACGAAATCGAGCAAAACACACACTCGAGGATACTCTCCTCGGTCACGGGCACCTCACGCACGCCGAGCATCGCGGACTTGACG